GAAGCAGAAAACAATGAAGTGATTGGCCCAAGGTCACAATTTTACTCACAGGCACAGAAACAGCTCTGGCTGTACAATCATAGGATGGTTTGGGTTGGAAAGGACCTTAAGATCACCCAGTTCCAACCCCTTGCCATGGGCAGGGACATCTCACACTAAACCATGTCACCCAAGGCTCTGTCCAACCTGGCCTTGAACACTGCCAGGGATGGAGCATTCACAACTTCGCTGGGCAACCCATTCCAGTGCCTCAGCATCTTCACAGTAAAGAACTTCTTCCTTATATCCAACCTGATCTTCCCCTAGCCAATACACTCAGATACACCTAAACTCTTCCCTAGACCCCTATAAAACTCGCAGTAGTTTCATGCCTTAAGACTTTGAGCTGGGCAAAACCAAGAACTTCCTTTCGGCAGAAAAGTCCAGCTTTTGAATCCAAGAGCTAACACCGCAGGAGAAGCAGCATTAATGAAACCTGAAAACTATTGTAAACCTGAGAACTGACTGTTCCCGAGATATGCAAAAGGCTTTGTTCTTATCCAGACTCCAAATCTCACGTGATAAACCACGGTAGAATATAAATGTTAAAACGTTCATCTCCAAATAAAGTGCTCTGGTCTTATCTAAGTGAAACGCTGCTATAATTTCCATTCAAATGTTGTCAGAACTGCTGCACCTTTACAAAATATTTTAATTCATTTACATTTTTCCAGGGGAAAAGCCCGCTGCTGGAAAACCTGGATCTGTTCCCTGTGCACGCAAGGCTCTACTGAGGTTTAAGACCTTAAAATAACCCACCTTGTCTCTGCATGCACTCTATGAAGTACACAGACCTCCCATAGCACAGGGCAATCTTTCCAGGAGGAAGAGCTTCAAGATCACACCAGACCTGCATGTTGATTCCCTTCCCACAGCCTGCTCAAGACATAACACTGAAAGTCTACTTTCCACACATTATTTCCTTAAGGTAAAAAGGGTTCCTTCTCCTCTGCTGCACACACAATGCTGGGATGTTTCCAGTTAAAAAAGGTATGTATGTTGTGAGTTGATATTGGAGCTCAGAAGCTGTTGTTTCTTTGGGAAGGAAGCACTCCATGAAAGGTGCCTTGTATTCATAACAATGAGATAACAATGATCAAAGCCTCTTGCAACATCCTGGAACATCATAGGGTACAGGGCTGCTCACTGTGTATACTCAGTGAGTTTTCAAGTCAGTTCTATAGTCTGCTACAATAGAGCCCACAAAAGCATACAGGTGCTGTACAACCCCTCCAGCTAATGGTTTGCTTGTCACTAAACACACCATGGCATGGACATAACAAATTCAGTGTCCATACAAGTTCTTGCCACCAGCACCTTTCAGCCTTAGCTAACACTAGGAACCAGAGCAGAACTCAGATGCTGAATTCCAATCAGCCCTGTCTCTGCAGATGAGGCTAGTAAGCAGTGGGAGAGAGACCAGAGATATACTCATACAGTCTTACTGTGGTCCTAAGTGCTGTAAGAAACGAGCTTTAAAGCTTGATTGACTTTATAAAGGCCAATCATGAACTGGTAGGCAGTAGAGACAACACGAGCCAAACTCAAACAGGACAAAGAGTGAAAGGTTCTCCTGTGCATCCTCAAGCTCCTGCTCTTTCCTTCCCACCTTTAAAATATTGCCAAGAGTGCCAAGAAACACTTAGAAAACACCACCATAAGACTCTTTATTCAGCCTGACTATGGCTTGCAATGCATAGTTTGAACACGTGTCTCTGCAGTTTCCTTTTGCACTTATTCTCTGTTAGCTGTTATGCAGGTGCAGCATTCCAGCAAGCCAATACAATCACAGTACCAAGCTAGGCATGGTAGAAAACCAAAGTGAAAGGAGAACCCCAAAAAACTTATCTAAATTCCTTAACTTAAGAAGTTTTAATCTTTCACGATGGTCAAACAGCAATCGTGCCAACTCAGTGCAAGGGCTGCCTTTGTCTAGCTGAATTTGCAGGGTCCAAGGGAAATGGGATGCAGACAAAGGGTCACATTTGAACTCCACCTGTTAACCTGGATCTGAACAGCTCCATCTTGGTTTAGGGATCTCCATCTCGAGAACCAATTAAAAACACAACACTTTGAGCCCCTAAATTTATTGAAATCAAGGCCAACTCCTTCCTTTCCAACCATATGAGCAGCTCTTAGGGCCCAGCTGAGGGAAACTCCGTCCTTGGCAAGTCCAAATCAGCTGCCTGGGCAGCAACACTCATCCTCCACAAGCCTTTCATGGTCCTTTTTCACTGCTAAGAAGCTGTGCCTGAACCAGGGTTACAAATATTTCAAACTGCCAGGGCCAAAGACTCCAGAAAGGAGATTTATAGCAATAAATAATATTAATGACACAGGCGGATGGAGCTTCTTGTCCTGAGAGCTCCAAAGGTACATGAAAAACTGCACTATAAATGTCACCACCGCAGACACCAACGATGATGAGATGCCACCTCTGGGGAAGGGAGGCAGCTTTGGCTTGCTCAGAATGACACTCGGTCAGGAAACTGAGGGTGGTACAACAAGGATACGGATGAACAACGCTCCACAGCATCACCGGACCCTAGGCTTTGCTTAGTGGGGGGACTCAGGAAGTATCCAGGCCCCAGCTTTCCACCCAGCATGGCCTAAGGACTCCTATTGATGCCCATGAGTTGACTCCAAGCTGGGAAATAAACTGAGTTGTGCAAATGCAACCTGACCAGCAGCCAGCAGAGTTGGAAAGAGGACAAAGGAAGCAATTTTAGGCCTAAACCCCAAAGGACCAGCTGAGAGGTTAGTTGCAGATATAATAAAACATGCCTGGGGAAAGGAAGCTGCATCCTCCCGCAGCCAAGCCCACTCTCAGATGCACGGATGATAAAGGGCTTACACGAACCCTGTGTTACCCAGATAACACCCCAAACACCTAGAGCTGAGGGAATAGCAGTATCTGGCTATGTCAAGTTAATCATTTTTCCCCCTAGCTGCTTAGTTAAATAATGCCAAGTGCTGTGTGAACATGAAGTCTGTTAGAGAAACTTCTGCTTTAACCACGCAAAGGCTCACATCTCTCTTCCCATACTGCCTACTTCCAGAGGAAGGATCACCAAAGGACCTCCACCAGCAGCACTTCAGGCTTTGCTTTAGGAGTATTCCTGCAGCAGAAATCACTTTATTTTCTCCAACCACACAACCTCCCCAGACTTTGTTGGGGTTGCTTGCAACAACAGCACCGAGTGCTTCCTGCGCAGAACAAAGCTCACCCATCAACCACCATGGTGGCCCTCACAGCCTCTGGAGCCAGACATTTGGGTGTCACCCTTGGACTGAAGGGAGAAACGTTGCTGCTGGCAGGATGCAGCGCTGCAGGCTCAATGGGCAGCAAGTTATAGAGATGCAGGAGATGGGTCCCATCTGCAGCACCTCCACACACCTCTAGAAGGCTGGCTACCACTCCTGGACAACACTAGCCCATCAAGCAACCTTCCTTCCTGCTTGGTTTCAAGCAAATCCCAACTTCCCTGGTGGGAAGAAGAGGAAGCAAAGACCCATGGAGGAAGATGGGCACAGAGACACCAGCATCAACACAACCAGCTCCTTCCAAGCGGGAACCCAAGTCCCACTTCTACCTTCAAGCAACCTTCAACCAGCACATGTCTACCAAGACCATAAGCCCGTTGCCTCTCTCAAGAGCACCTCAAGAGGGGTTGTACCTGACACGAGCCCATTTCACATCACTGGAGCAGCTGGGCCTGCACGGGGCCGGGCAAACACAACCAACGCTGTGTCTTTAAAACCACTTCAGTGCAGATGTTGTTTCCATGGTAACTAGTGGACCAAATACATTAGTGTTTCTAATAATAAACCAAACCTTCATCTTGGAAAATGTGATCCCCCCTCTCCCTTTTACCACCAGCACCCTTCCTTTCATCCTTTCCCCTCCCCTTTCACTGAATTAAGGCAGCATTTAACAAGCAAGGCATAATTAGTAAATAATTACAAGGGCCCAGTAACTCCCAGTGCCCAGGCAGATGGAGAAGCATTGGGTGGAGAAGGGGGGGTGGCTTTGCTCTATGAACCTGGGAACTATCCAAAAAGGGATGAACTACTTAAAAAAAAGGGGGGGAAATACATTATAAAGCACAAGGTGGAAGAAAAGAGCCGGAAAAGCCCTTTTTGACCACCCTGGTGTCGCCTTTGGCACCTTCCCCACTCTCTGAGTCCGGGTGCAGCCTCCCGGTGATAATTTCTAGGAATCTCACACTTTTCTTTCCCTCCATCCCAGACGCAGCTCCGTATTCACCAACAGCAGCCAAAACTTCACAACTCCTCCCTTCCACCCTCCCTTATTCCGGAGTGGGGACACTCCACGCACCCCCATCACCCAGAAAGTGTGGGGTAGCGAACAGGACCCCGAGGGATGGAGTGGGACACGAGTGGGATGCGGTGGGGATGGAAGAAGTGCGGGATGATTCCCCCCCCCCCCCCTTCCCAAAATGAGACACGTGTGAGGATTTAGTGCGTGGGGAGCCCACAGGAGGGAACACGCCCGGAGGGGGCTGCTCGCCCCACACGTTTAGCGGTATCCTGATCCAAAGCATAGGGAAAGAGGGATGGAGGAAAAGGGGGAAGCAGCGCAGCAGCAAGACGCGTGTCCCGTCGTGTATTCCCCCCCCCCCATCCCAAAAGGCATAAACTGCGGGCAGGTCGGGGAAGGGGAGAGGAAGGGCGGCGGTGGAGGGTGATGCAAAGCCTCACGGTGTGTGTCGCTACGGTCCCGGCGACACTGGGCTGCAGCAGGGCTCGGGGCTGTCCCCATCGTCCCCGGTCCCCGCAAGCCGCCCTCCGAGGATGCTCGGCTGCATCCCGGTGGTGTTCCCGTCCCTTCCTCTTTATTTTCCCCGGTCCCCCCCGCAACCCCATGTGTGTGTATGTGTGTCTATGTCCCCATCCCTCCCTCCTCTCCCCTCTGCTCCTCCCTCCGCGGCGGGACTCACCATGTCGGGGCTGAGCTGGGCTAAGATGGCGAAGGCGGAGAGCCGGTCACACAGGCACTTGGTCCGGGAAGCGTCGAGCGGGACCGTTCGGCAGCCGCGCCAGGACCATGCGCCGGGTGGAGAGGCGGAGGCTCTGCTGGAGGAGGGAGGGATGGGTGGATGGATGGGTGGATGGATGCAAGGAGGGAGGGATGGAGCGAGGGAGGGACGGGGCGGCGGAGCGGGGAGAGAGGGAAAGCGGCCGTCAGGGCGGGCGGGGAGAGGGCACGGAGCAGCAGGGGAGACCGCGCCCCCCCCCCCCCCCCAAATACCACCCTCCCCGGAGCTGGATCCTCTAGTCCCCGCCCCGCTCTGACCCCTCCATCGCTTTCCACCCATTTAAACGTTTCCCCTCCAACCCCCCCCTCGGGCTGCCCATAGCACCTCCCCATCCCTGTAGCCCACATAGCCCGTGCGCGCACACCCACTGTGTGGAGGCATAACCTTATAGCTTTGTGATGTACACCCAACATAAGGATGCATAATCCTATAACCCTGTCCCACATGTTATACACACCCCCTTAACCCTATAGCCCTGTCCCACATATGTTATAGATGCCTCTTTAACCCTATAGTCCTATTCCTTGTATGTTATACACACCTCCTTAACCCTATAGTCCTGCGATATGGCCCATCCCTGGCAGTGTTCAAGGCAAGGTTGTAAGGTGTCCCGGCCCATAGCAAGGGGTTGGAACTGGATGAAATTTAAGGTCCCTTCCAACCCAAATCATTCCACATTTTTATGATGGCATATGCCCCACTTAAGGACGCACAATCCTATAGCTCTGTCCCATATATATTATATACACCGCCTTAATCCTATAGCCTTGCCCCACTTATTCTGTATATGGATGCATAACCTTATGGATTTGCCTCACACACCCACTATGTGGATGCATAACCCTGTGGCATGCACTCCATGCATGGATAAATAATCCTATAGCTGTCCTACATAACCCAGATATACACCTCTCACCCTATAGCCTTGTCCCGCATATCCTAAATATGGATGCGTAACACTATAGAGTTGTCCCACACACGATACACACCTTACTTTCCCCATAACCCCATCCCTCATCCTATATACACCATAGCCCTGCTCCACATCCCATATAGAAGTGTCCCACCCATCTTGCCCCCTATATAGATGTCCCCCAGCCACATGGGAGTGCACCCCTTCCCCACATCAATTACCCCAACATATGATTCCACCTCTCCCCTACACCTTCCTCATCCCCCATAACTTCCCCCAATTACTCCCCCTTCCCTTGTTCCTTCCCTGGGAAGCTCTCTGGGGCTAAGATCCCCATATAGGCCATGACAGGACTGCCCTTGGATATCCCCTGCATCCCCACAGCTCTGGGCATGGCAGGAATGCCCCTGCTTCATAGCATGACGCTTGAAGGCATCAATGGGACAGAGACCCTGCTTTCTGATGGCATCTTTTCAGCCTGAGAAAGAGCAGCAGGGTGGGGAAGGAGTCATAGATGGGAAAGGCTCCATGTGAGGTTGGCCTTCATCCCATAGATGGGATGCCTCCATCAGGAAAGTTACTGCAGCTCCATCTCCATGTGAGCACCAAGGGCTAAGCCAGAAACAGGGGATCTTATGTTCTGGCTCGCATGACAAGGTACAGTCATCACCTAAAGAGTACAGTGATTTTCCACCCATTGCTTCTGTCCCTTGTCCAGATCACTCTCTGGAACTGTGGTCACACAGAGGGTGGAAATGAAGAGAGCAAGTGCAGAAATGCAGTGGATGGGGAGAAGGTCGGGATCTATGTGGATAACCTGAGCTTCACTGGAGCCTGGGATGTGGAAGCAGAGCCAGAGGGCCATATGCCTTCACTGGAGGAGCACGGGTGTAACACATCCCCTCTCCACATCTGACTGTCCTCTGAGGAAGGACCAAAGCAGGAATGCCAGCAGCAAGCTCAAGGCAGCTCCAGATGGAGCCAAGCTGCTCGGCAGCCTTAGGTGCATCACAGATGGCCTGAACTTCTCTATACTGCTGACTCCAATAGACCTGCCTTGAATTGCAGAGAAGGCTTTTGGAGGTCTTGACTCCGTGCACACACTGACACATTCCTCACACAACGAGACAGAGCATCCCTCCACCTCCGCCGTGCAAGAACGCGCTGGGTACCAACAGGGTAGCAGAGCATCAACACGTGCTGTTGATTGTGTTGTGATTATCTACTGGGATCCAGTTTAATACGTGACACTGAGCCTTCCCGAATTAGCTCTGTTTCAAATTAAAGCACTTTCCATAGCTAAATAAATACAGCCAAACTATTTTTACTGTAGAAGTTGTCAGCAACACACAGAACAGTTTTGCTTTCTTCCTGAATGTCTGGACCCTGCTGCATGTCAATGTGGTGGATGATGGGACATACATCTCTCTTCCCAGGAGAGTCAGCCCTGCACATGCTCTTCTGCTGAGCTAAGTCACATCATCCTGGGTTCAAAATGAAACGGGGGAAGTTCAGCTTGGACATAAGGAAGAAGTTCTTTACCGTGAATGTGCTGAGGCACTGGCACAGGGTGCCCAGAGAAGTGACGAATGCTCCATCCCTGGCAGTGTTCAAGGCCAGGATGGGCAGAGCTTTGGGTGACATGGTCTAGTGCGAGGTGTCCCTGCCCTTGGCAGGGGGTTGGAACCGGATGATCTTAAGGTCCTTTCCAACCCAAACTAATCTATGAGTCTCTGATTCTGTCTCACAGAGAATCTCAGGTCCAGGCATCATTCTTTGGCCTCTTCCACTCACCCATTCACCAACACCCTTCTTGGAAGGGACTAAGAGATCCAAGGCCAATCTCAGAGGGAATACGAATTCCCTGTTCTCCCCTATACGTACTGCCTGTACTTCCAAGAACTACATTAGCCAGTTCTGCTTATTCACTGTCACCAAGACAAATCCCTTATTTACACTGTGTGCAAATAAAGACAAATGCTCACACTACCAACCAGTTCTGTGTTCTCCTAGAAAGTATTCATTTAGCTTGACAAGATCTATTTTGCGTAAGCTGATTACTATTAATTTCTCTGTTTTAATGAGCATGCTATTATTCAATTATAATCATAATATTACCCACAATCCCTTCACCTTTGGATGGTGCGTTATTGTGCCTAGGACATATGTGAGGCAGGAGGCTCTGAAGTGAAGCTGCGGTGCTTAGGGACACACTCCTCTCTCCAGACTTCAGGAACACTTCCACCCTTCCTTTACAGAAGAGTAATGATCCCCAATTAGCCTTAACCTGTTCTTTTAACACTCCTGCATGCAAAATTCCTCTGTCTTGTTTCTCTTCAAAAGATTCCACTCAATTGGACGATGGATAGCATGTTTTCCAGCTGCTGGGGTAATGAAAAGTATTTCATTAGCCTGAGATGGGGATTAAGTAACCAGGCTCTCTTCCAACTACAGAATACAGGCATTTATTGCAATTTCTGCATTATTATAAATAAAACTATCATTTCTAGCTAGTAACAACGCAATGCCATTAGGATTTATTTGGGGTTTACTATAAATTTAACTTTTGATTTATTTCAACCACAGTGAAAGCCTTACTTTCAATTTTTCCTATCTTTCTCAAGCTTTTACTTTATATTGTTTGCAATCAAGTTACCCTTCATCTGTATCTCTACAACAGCTTTTACTTTGCCTCTAAAGAAGACTGCTGTTGGGGTTTGCAGATAGAATCATAGAATCATAGAATGGTTTGGGTTGGAAAGGACCTTAAGATCACCCAGTCCCTACCCCCTGCCATGGGCAGGGGCACCTCACGCTAAACCATGTCACCCAAGGATTGGTCCAACCTGGCCTTGAACACTGCCAGGGATGGAGCATTCACAACTTCCTTGGGCAACCCATTCCAGTGCCTCAGCACCCTCACAGTAAAGAACTTCTTCCTTATATCTAACTTGAATTTCCCCTGTTTCACTTTGAACCCATCACCCCTTGTCCTATCACTGTAGTCCCTGATGAAGAGTCCCTCTCCAGCATCCTTGTAGCCCCCTTCAGACACTGGAAGCTGCTCTGAGGTCTCCACACAGCTTCTCTTCTCCAGGCTGAACAGCCCCAGTGTTCTCAGCCTGGCTCCATACAGGAGGTGCTCCAGCCCCTGATCATCCTCGTGGCCTCTTCTGCACTTGCTCCAACAGCTCCGTGTCCTCCTTATGCTGAGGACACCAGAACTGCACACAGTGCTGCAAGTGGGGTCTCAGGAGAGCAGAGCAGAGATTTGTAATTTTTTCTTCTTATTATTATGATTACTATTACTACTATTGCTATTACTAATACTATTACTATTTCATTGAGGTTTTTTTTAGTGCTCTACTTATCTTTTTCATATATGGCTGTGTGGATATCTACAAAGGTGCTCTTAAAACATCTCCTACTTATCCTTAACGTTTTCTTCCTAAGGAGGTTTTTGCAACAAACAGACATGCTGAAAGCTCTCATTCTTAAAGCATCAAATACATGCACGTTGACACACACGTACACCCCCTGCCCCCAGGCAATTTGAACTTTCTTGAAATGTGTGAATAGAATTGCCTTAACATCGCTTTCAGTGCTGAAACCCAGCTTTGTTCATTTCCCAGCTTTCAGAGTAGATGAGGACAGATCTGGGCCATGCATCAACAGAAGTAACCTCATCAAAAAGAAGGAATCTGAAAGTCGACCAAACCAGGAAAAGCCCAGGGGAGGTATCAGCAAACAAATAACACTCCCTAGGTGCTGTGCCTGGGCTCACACTCTCATGGTAGAGATGCTGACAGTACAGCAGTGAATGCAATATCAGAACAAAGTCTATCCAGGGCCAAAGCCACACTTGGCACAGTCTGATATCCATTTCTAGATGCACATACAGAAAAAGGACATAACGATATCTAGGTGGAAAGCAAAAGAGAAAACTCTCACTCTTCTAAGTCCCAGTCTGATGCCTGCTTTTCTATCCCATTGGATTCAAAGAAATCAAACGAATCAAAGCCATCCAGTTTTTACTTGAAAAGCTGCTATAAATCCTATGAAGGATGGGTGCTGTGGGACATGCTGAGTCAGAAACATGGTATAAATCACCTCAGAATAAGTCC